GTTTGGTTCGTTTTGGTTTGGTTTGGTTTGGTTTACGGCATATCAAACTCAATGGGTCATTTAACGCTGACAACTTTTTTCCTGATATTATTTTTGTTTTGTCAAAGATCTATTTCTGGTAATATTTTTCCCTAAAAAATGTATAGCTGGTAATAATATTTCATAACATGTATTACTGGTAATAGTTTTTTTTTTTCAAAAATTTATTTCTGTTAATAATTTTTTACAACCACCCCGGGTCAGGGTGGACGTGGAGACACCAGCAATTCAGAGTTGGTTCCACGCTTCTCAAAACCTTCTGAACAGAGGCCTTGCCGTGGGACGTAGTTTCTGTTCATACCCAGGACGCGGATGTATTTTCTTGTCTTACCCAGGACTCGGATGTAGTTTATCGTCATACCCAGGACTCGGATGTGGTTTATCGTCTTACCCAGGACTCGGATGTAGTTTCTCGTCATACCCAGGACGGGGATGTAGTTTCTCGTCATACCCAGGACGCGGATGTAGTTTACCATCATACCCAGGACGCGGATGTAGTTTATCCTCATACCCAGGACGCGGATGTAGTTACCATCATACCCAGGACGCGGATGTAGTTTATCGTCATACCCAGGACTCGGGAGTAGTTTACCGTCATACCCAGGACTCGGATGTAGTTTATCGTCATACCCAGGATGCGGATATAGTTTATCGTCTTACCCAGGACGTAGATGTAGTTTCTCGTCATACCCAGAACGCGGATGTAGTTTATCGTCATACCCAGGAAGCGGTTGTAGTTTATCGTCTTACTCAGGACGGTATGTTTTGTAATACTGAGATATATCGTAGTGTAATTGGCGATGGTTAAATGTAATTGCTTATCATCTAATGGCATGTACATTTGACTACCATCCTGCATTACAACGTCTGTTGATTTTAACGGTTTACTCATGATTTTGCAGCTCACTTCCGGGGTGAAAAACAAAACACTTGAGTGGTCTACTGCTCTTGACACTTAGCCATGAAGCAAGACGAGTTGGTCACCAAGCAACAACCGACATTGTCCAGTTATAACACAGA